GTATTTGAGGGTCCCAAGATGGGACCCCTTTTTTTCCGTGTGCATGTGCAGTATGTAGGGTAACCTCAGTGGTGAGGAATTTCCTACATGAACCAAACCTTTAACCCTTAACCCTAATCCCTGAACCCTGGACCCTAAACCCTGTGGGCTCTAAGCCCTAGACCATCATCTTCAGCTTGATCTTCAGCCTCGGCCGGACTGGAAGCCCGCAGCCCTGAACAGGATACCTTAAACCACTAAGCCAGGCAACCCCAACCCCAAAATACTAAGCCCCAAACCACGAAACCCTCAAAGCCTCAAGGTTTAGGCAAGAATCTGCTAGCAGCTTTAGGAGGACCCCCCCACCTGTAATAGTGGTATAATAAGAATATAAGAAGGCCCTAATATAATCCTTATTATCCCTTATAGTCACTATTACAGGGTGGCCGTCCTCCTAAAATATAATATAGGGCTTAGGGCTTAAGATTTAGTTTCAATTGGGTTGGCCCCTAAAACCCTTTGAAAAATTATAGGGTCCCTTATTAAAGCCATTGAGGAAAATGGTAAATATCCCAGGAGCCAACCCAGCTCCTTAATGGCTGAAGAAGTTTACCTAGAAAGCCAGTTATCCATGATTATAGTCTACTTTCCCCTAATTTCATACTACTTTGGGTTAAAGTAGCCCATTATCATAGGTAACTAGGCTTTCTGGGTAGGGCTTAGCGCTTGGTGGTTTTTTGATTGGCGCGCTTATGAAAGGATCATCTCACCTTCCCTTTTGGGCTTAAACTTTAGGGTTTAGGGCTTATCAGGGTTTAGGGGTTTAGGGGTTTAGGGGTTTAGGGGTTAGGAGTTTGGTGGGGGTTTAGGGGTTTTAGGGTTTAGGGTTTTAGGGGTTTAGGGGTTTAGGGGTTTAGGGTTTAGGGGTTCAGGGGTTAGGAGTTTAGGGTTTTAGGGGTTTAGGGTTCTTAAACCTATCAAAATCAGGAAAATACATGGTAGCTAGTCAAAATTGCGGTGTCAGCACAGTCATGTGTGCGCAAAAGGAGTGCGGTGCAGGAACTGTGCTGTCCATATACTTTTCAAGCTTCTCGGGAGCATCCTGTATCAGAATGTGTGACACCCGATGTCGCTTCGGCGGTGGAGGCGGTGGCTCATTCATGTCTGCCCTGGGCTTGCGTGCCGGAGTGCATGGCAATCGAGCGTTCGCTTGCCAGTCCGTCTGAGCCTGGTGCCCGCTGCTCGATGCCTCTGAGCTACTTTCACTGGCATCGTCCTCACTCGTGGAGTCGCTTGAAGACGCAGCAGAGGATTCACTAGATGTATTGTCTCCATCTTCAGTCTTCAGAGGCTTCACCGCATTCCCTTTGGGAGCGGACGTCATGGGGACAGCCTCCAGCAGAGGATCCCACTGCAAGAGCTTGGTGCCCAGCGGCAAGTGAGACGGCTGCATTAGCTGAAGATGCAGAGCGGTGACCACTGCCCGGCTGACAATTTTGGGGCCCGTATTATCCTACTGCACCTAATATTCATGGTACCCCAAGGGGACCATAACATTGACCCCCCTCCCATATCAACTCTGGCCCAGATTTAGGGTTCTCGTTTTAAGTTTGAGCGGTTAGTACCTAAACACCAACCCTAAATGCCACCTTAAATCCAATCTGGGAACCTGCATCAGGATAGGAACCCAGATCTAGGGATCTGCAAAACGGGTACCTGTAATTTCCCAAAATTTAGGAGCTTCCTCTACAGTATACCTCCTACTATACTTTAGTCCTCGCTTTCGGGAACCCCCATAAAAATGACTCCTCATTGTTGACTAAACGTATACCTTTCTAAGGAAACCTCATGTTTTCCAAATTTTGACATGCTCTTTGGTATGGAATTCCCGTTGTTGGCAAAATTCCAATCTAGCCACACACAGCTTCCTATACACCTACTTGGAGGTTCATGGGACTTAGTAACTACTTATAACCCTAATTCTTTTTAACCTGGGTAACCCCCATAAAGCCATTTGGAGGGATTATAATAGGATTATAAACCTGGGTTGGCCCCGAAAGCCCTTTGAAAAACATTAGTATATAGGGTCCCTTATTAAAGCCATTAGGGAAAATATTTCAGGGGCCTACCCAGGTTATAAAAAGTTGCTAAGTCCCCTGAACCTCCAAGTAGAACTT